TTTTTTTTTTTTTTATTCATTCACACATTCACTTCAAGGATTTGTTATCGAATGCAAAATCAATCATCGCTAGCGATGATAGCGTTTGTGAACGTTCTCAAGAATTAACATTATGTTTCTCCTTTTTTTTTTTTTTTTTTTTCTTCAATTTTATTATCCATTCTGTTTGTGTCGTTCAATTCCGTCGGAAGCAATTAATATTAATCTTCAAATGCATCTTTACTATTGCATACTGTTGCTGATGATAACTACAATATGTAATGTGTATCAAGTTATTTAATAATGGAAATTTAATCTCATCTCGTTTTACATTTATCAAGAGATTTTTAGTAGTTCTTTGTTATTTTGCATATTAACGTAATTATGAATGCAAAATACGTTGTACATTGTAAGGATAATGATGAACTTCTGATAATCTGATATATGAGATTGTACGTTACTATATTTTTATATCTTTAAGTAATGCTACCTACATAACTTTATTTCTACGCTTGGTCCTTGAATGAATTAATTGTTCAATACTCAATTTGTGTGATTCGTACAGAAAGAAATATCTTTCAAATATATCATGAAATCAGTAACAAATGCCCAGTAATAATAAACGCCATGATTATATGTTATATTATTTAAGAGCAATGGTAAATCTATGCAAAAGTAAATGATGTGTTACAATGCTGCAAGGAAATGCATTTAATGATTAACCACGGTAGACGTAATTATTAGGCTGGTGGAAAATAAAATAGTTCATTGGTATCTATAACTATTACTTCGTTTAAAAAACACGTACATTGCAATTTCTTGTTTTTTCTCCCTTTTTTTTTTTTTTTTTTTTTTATTAATTTACAAGCTAGTTATATCACGGAAAAATTCTAGTTAAAGCCCTTAAAGAACAAAAATTATTTAAAAGTCTCGATCATTACTGGTTTCGCGGGAAAATTTGTCCAAAAAATTTTTCGCGAAGTTGCCCGAGAAATGCAGTTTCCACCTGTTATCTTACACGCAAGTGCATTTTCACTATCATTTTACTGTCATTTCCGACTTTTCGATCATTGCTTCCTACTATTAGCACAACGTGAATCATTGCCGGCTTCAAATTAAGAATATGTTGTCACCAGTCGTGTTCACACGCTTCTTTTCTTTCGGCCGTCTCCACGCGCTTCTCAATCTTCTATCACGTTGGTTCTCCATTTGTCCTTTTGTTTGTCAATTTCTGTTCGCGAGAATTATGCAACCGTGCAGAAATGTCAATAATAATTATGAAAAAGTCCGTGCTACATCGGCATTGAACTGCGATGTCAGCCGTGGTCAAGGCGACCGCCGTGTCCGGAGATTCGATTGACACTTCCGTATGTGAACTATCCAGCGGATGTGGTTGTTCCGCATTCGTAACGCTCGAGCGTTGTGTTATGAGAGTCGAGCATGACTGGAGAACCATATTCGTTTTACTCTCGAATAATTATTCACCGACGCGAGTCAAAGAAAAAAAGAAAAAAAATTGGATACATATTCAAGGAAGATTAACATTAGGAATTAACTGGCAGAGTGTTTAATACCAACACTTTTATACTTTTCACGAACACTCTCGAATAAACGATGTACGTGACGATTAATTTAAATTACCAAGGAAATGATTAATTGATCAGAAATTCGTGTGATGCAATGTACGAGCGCGATAAACTGAGAATAAATGGACTTTCAAAAATCAATCGAGAAGCAGTTTGCCCAGTCGTTTCTGCGAAAATGAAAGAGAGAAAATTATAAAAGCGAATGCAATCAATGACAACGTACTTGATCTTGTAGCATTTGTAGATATTACAGGTATAATAATTCTTAAACAATCGTGGTTCAGTAGCGTTTATATAATATAATGTATCTTAAAGTATACAGCGGTGTGAATCTTTGTAAAATATTTATGCAGTAAATATCATAGAGATCGTTAAGTAATGTTACCTGTTCGATTTTCAAATTTCAATCAAAATGAATTTTATTTCGTTGGTTTAAAAATTCATCTTTATCAAAGCTTGATATCGGTATAAATTTTGCTTCTCTATTATTCCTTTTAATTGCAGCTAATTCAAACCACTTTACCAGTTAAATAATGAATATTTCATACTGCTTATTAAAAGATAATCTTATGTAACAGATGATCTCTGCGGTTTTGCATGGAATATACGCGTGAAGCAATAAACTGTTCGAATTCTTCATAAAGAAAATTCATTAAAATCATTATAAAAAGTGTGTTTTTATATACAATTTTTATATATTAAATTCGAACATATTACTTAATAGCATTGCTTCAATAATTAATTCATTTTGTTCGTTTCTTTAAATCGTTTCTTCATTATATAAATTGCAACATGACATATTTCGATTAAATAAAAAGACATTTGTTGCTTTGGAAATGAGCAATCACAAGATCATAAAATATTCATTCTGATAATTTTCTTCTAAACTTGTTATACCTAATTAATTTTAATAATGCAAACTAACCATCACATTAATTAAAAATTTAGTTTCCAGCTAAAATATCGTATCTAGATATTGTTAAATAAAAATATAGTATGTAGATACTTATATATATATATATATATTTGTGATAAGATATTCGCATACCTATGCGACTATATACATATATATACATATATATACATGTATACACATATATATATACATGTATATACATATATATACATATATATAATATATATGTAATATATATACATGTATGTACATATATATATACACACATATATACATGTATATACATGTATATACATATATACATATATGCATATATATACATATATATGTTATATATATGTAGTTGCATAGGTATGCGAA